TACGTACGTACGTACGTATGTATGTTTGTTTATCTACCTACCACAGCTTCATTTGATATTATGCTAAGGATAACCAATATGATTATATAAAATAAATCTAAGAATACAGTACATAATTCAAAGGCAGTTATTGCGGTTTTCAAACATCAATTTAATGTTTTGAACGTTTTTTGTTCCCCCCATTTAGATTAACCCTTGTCCGTCCGTCCGTTCTCATTTTGTGTCGCACGTACCTCAAAAAGTATTTGACCTAGAGTCATAAAACGTTACTGAAATGTTGATCAGCATGTGTAGTGGTGCACCTGGGTATTTTCTTGTGGATATATTTAGTATTTTAAAGTTATTGCCTTTGACTTAGTAAATACTTGCAATTTTCCACTTGTGTCGCACATAACTCAAAATGTATTTGACCTAGAGTCATGAAACCTTACAGGAATGTTGCTCAGCATGTGAATTTCTGCACCTGGATATTTTCATGTGTATATATATAGTATTTTTAGAATTTTTTTACCTTAAAAAAAACTTTTTTAAAAAATGTTATGCATAGCTAAAAAATATTTTCCTGTAGGCCGAAAGTTAAAAATTTTTAAATCAGAAGGGATTTGACGGGGGGTTTCCCCATAAAAAAATTTTGACAAAAAGTGTTTGTTTTGGGGGCAAGTGAAAAAATTTTAACTTTTAAAGTTAAATTAAAAATAGGGGGGGCAATTTAATAATTATAGTTTTAATTTAAAAATTTTTTAAAAAAAAACTATAAGCTTCTTTGAAAATGTTTTTTAAAAAATTTCTTTGTTAAAGGGAAATTTATGTCCGGGGCCATGGTACGAAAGCGAAAATAAAAAAACTGAAATTTCTAAGAGAAAACAAAAAAAATTTAACTCGAAAACCGAAAGAACGAAAACACGAAAACGCCAAAATATGATGATGATGATAATGAAAACGAGATAATTATCGACTTGAATTTATGAGTTTTTATGTTTTTTTGTCTTCCCATCTTCGGCGTCGTACTTTCGCGCACATTCTCTTATTTGTGTTTGTGCGTTTTCATCCTCATTTTTTTGCGTTTATAAACCGGATATTTTGTGTGAATTTTAGTTAAAGTAAATAATTTAAGTGGTCGTAGACATTATAAGATATAATTTGCATGAAAAATCTTCACAAAAATGGTTTCTTATTTACACAAAACCTTCTGAGATTCTCTAATCTGTATAAGTGTTATATGTCTTGGTCAGTTTCTTAAAAAAAAAACATTGAGTTACAATTTTTATCAAAAAATGCATCAATATATTGGCGAATATATTTTGTTTACAATATGGTGTCTTTTATACTGACTTATTTTCTTTTCTTGTCTTTCGAAAATTGCTTCGGTAGGTATCCAATAAGTAATTTTGATAAAAAAATGTTGTAGCAATTTAATAATACTGCTTTTCTTTTTTCCATATAGGTCCGACTATTGAGAGAAAGGTTAGATGGTAAGTATAAGTAAACTTTTGTCATGTTTAGAATTTAATTAAAGAGCGCATTTCTTTTGCAATAATACCAGGTATTTTTGAAGTGGGTTTTGTCTACCATGTCCTGAATTATTAAGTATATAAAAGATTTTCCGAAGAGAGACATATAGTAGAACAATCAGTACGTTCCTACGGGGCACGGATATGTGTAACCATAGAAGCAATTTGGATTTAAACTTTAGACCACTTTCTGACTAAACCAAAGGTCATAGATATGTCAGCTGTTCTGCTGTTATAGCCATTCCTCAACAGTAACAACCTCTTTAATGCACTGTAAAATTAATATAGCTAAATAATTTGGCATAATGGATAGCTTTGATCCAATGGTTAACAGAATAGCAAGGGAAAGTCCAATATGCTTTTGCAAGCGATATAACTTACTCGGGTTCTTAAGGTGACACTTGTAACGTGAATACTGAAATTCAAATATAAACTGATGTCAAACTGATATTTGCTGTTTAAATGTACATTTTCCCATCCACTTTAAGATCTGTAACAAGTTGCAAATTGGCAGAATTGTAATCTAAAGCGGTTTTCACCAACATTTGTTTCTTCTAATTACCTTCTCTGATATTCCTTTAGCAACACAGTTGGTAGAAAGATTTGCCATTCTACTGGTAAAATGCATTAGTCTTTTATTTTTAGAAAAGTATCATGTCTCTTCAAATTAGTTCTAAAACCTGGTATTATATGTGTCCACATAGCAATAGTTAACAAAAGATTAAATGTACATTGTTTTGTTGTTGTTTTTTTTAAAACAATTAGTACTTATTTTGAACTTAACAATATAATTTACATGTTTATCTTCAACTATATTATCTTTATGTTAACAATTATTTAGTTTGTACATGCTTTCAATAGTTTATGTTGTGTGTAAACTCTTCTGTAAGCCTTGAACTGGAAAACTTTCTACAGATACCATTGATATTTTGATTCATCCATGAATGTATGTTTCTTTTCCGTTTAGAAGAAACCAATAAGACGATGGACATTATGTGTGAGAAACATGATGGTACTATAAGCACATGGCTTTGCATAGATCATGCAATCTCTTTTTGCAAATCTTGTATGGAAAAAGAACATAGGTAATTAATCATTTATGAGAACATACATTTACTTTATTCATTTAAACATGAGTAACAATCTGATTTTACATCACATAGGGAAGATTATGAATGAAAAAGCATGTATTGTTATATTCGAAAATAATGCTTCACATAAAATGGTAGATTAATTTATCTAGATTCATACTAACATAAAGGTTTGTTTTCCATTGGTGTTTGCAGTAAAAAGATTTGAAAAGAATTTGTAAACTACGGTTTTACATTAGATCCATCGCGTATGCTTGAAGAAAATTGAACCGCGAAAAATTGAAAATACGAAAGAGCGAAGACAAAAACAAATACAGGACGGAGACGAAACCCCCCAAAAAATCGTAAGGACAAAAATGCAAACATGTAAAAATACTATAATAAAAATGCACAGACACGGTGACAAAAACTCGATAAATTCACATCGATAATTATCACATTTTTATCACCGTGACTTTGTATCTTCATCGTCGTACTTTCCTGTTTTCTTCTTTGCTCGTTTGATATTTTTGCTTTAGTTATTTTCCGTTTTTCATTTCGCACTTTCGTTTTTTCGCATTTCGGTATATGCCATTTTAATTATTTAGCGGTACTTTGATTTCAATCTTTTACAAAATTAAAACGACAAAGATTATTATATTATATATATTACCATCAAAGGTTTAGAATATTTTGAATATTTGAATGTTTAGCAATTTCGTGTTGAATATTTAATAATTAATTTTATTCCTAATTTTGGTTTCATTTTTAGCTTACCTGAGTCTTGTCTTAAGGAACAAGGCTTAGAGCTTAAATATTTTATAGATATTATCATCTTTTTGTCCTTTAAAAAGTTGTTCAAATTATAGCCTTGGGGTCAAAACTGGCCAAGCCCCTGTTGGTAAGGTAAAAAACTTAAAAAAAGTCTTCTCATCGAAATTGACAAAAGCTACAAAAGCTAGAGGTTAGATAGTTGGCATGAAACATTGTTTAGTAGGCTTCTACTAAGATTGTTCCAATTATAGTCCTGGGGTCAAAATTGATTCCGCTCCAGGGTGTCATATTTTATCATTATATGTATATAGTAAAAACTTAAAAAGTCATCTTGTGTAAAGGAACAAGGCTTAAATAAAATAGTATGTATATAATATACACCAAAGTTGTTAAAAGCTTGTCTCTAGTGTCATAATCGGCCCTTACAAAAATAGTCTGTCTTCAGACAGCGAGTGCTTTTGGGCCAATGCCCCCTTGTTTTAAATAGTGTAGCATAGTTTAGCATAATCTCAATTTAACATTAAACGTAAATAAATTTGATCAATGTCTTATTATTATTTTATTTGTTTTGTTTTTGCTTATAAAACTTTAAGATAATAATAAAACCTTTTTATCGCGTTTTGTTTGGACAATCGTTATTTTTATGCCTTTTTAAAGCCCCTCCCCTTTCGAAGATAGACCACGTTATTTCCGCTAATAAACATAGAACTATTTATCACAAAGTCTTCATATTTCACATACTGATTGGTCATGACTAGTAGATGTTTCCTATTGATTTTGGGGTCATTATCTTGAAAACCTATGTATCATAGACTATTTTATATTACATATTAATAGTCATTTAAAGTACAAGACCCCTATTAATTTGCGGGTCACTAGTTTAAAGGTCAAGGTCACAGGGGCTTTAAATGTCAGAATGGTTTTCGAGCATTATCTTAAAAACTATTTATCACTTACTTTTTATGTTTCACATATTTGATTGGTTATAAAAAGTATATAATCCCTATTGATTTTTGGGTTTATGAGTCAAAGGTCAAGGTCACATGGAAAGTAAATGTTGTAATGATTTCGACTCATCTTCAAAGCTATATGTTATCAAGTCTTTTTGTTTCATACATTAATTGATCATCACTAGTAGGTGCCCCCCATTTTTTGTTTTGGTCCTAGGTCAATGGGCACAATAACCTTGGGAAAATTAAAAATTTTTCTCTTGAAAACCATAAGTTACCAAAATTTTTCACAAATTTTACATATTTTTAAATTTTTTATTGGTCATAAATATTTTGTTGTTTTTTTTGCATTTTGGGGGTTTCTGGGGGCAAAGGTCAATGTAACAAAGGGGGCCCTTTAAAAGTTTTTTAAGGTTTTTGGTCATTTTAAAAAAATTTTCAATCGCAAAGTTCCTTTATTTATTGGTCATGTGTAGAAGATTACCTTTACTGATTTTAAGGTCAAGATCACAGTAACCTCAAATATAAATGTGGTTTCCGTTTAATAACTATTGAATGGCAAGTCGTGCGGTGTTGGTATGATCATTAGTCATGGTCAGTAGAAGGCCTTTAAACATAAAGGGGTATCTTTGTCAAAGGTCAAGGTCACAATGACAATTCTATGATAATAAATCTTTATTCAAGCTACCCTCCAATTTGTATAACTTACTAATGATAGCTTTCATTCACTTTCAGTTCATACATTGGTCATTATTTATCTTTTTCATATCTAACACTTCCATGTACCCATTTATAGCAAGTTTCTATAACAAAATGACAATGGCTAGAAAGGGGGGGGGGCATATGTGTTGTTCGACATTTTGATCATTTTGTCCTAACACGCAATGCATGATGGTACGATGGTGAAAACGCGATGGTAAAATGGTCATAATTGTATTATTTATGTACGGATTTGACAAAACAAGACTTGCTACCAAACAAACATATTGATTAATTTAATATTCTTTTCAAAACCAAAAAGAATTAGAGATTAGATATTTAGCATGAACATCTTCAACTGAATGTCTACAGTTGTTTTCCCTTAGCAATAGCAACCCGTAATGTTTTCACACTTCCACCATTTCACTTACTTTTTGGTATCAATTTAAGATTAAAGATTAAAATCTGCTTTTTAGTTGGGACGTAGTCCGTCCCAACTAGTGTACTTACAAACCCGAAATTTCCAACCATACAGGGTAACGCCCACTGCAGTGACGTTTCATCACCATTCTATATGCTATATTGTTTCTAACATTTTGCAGGTAAGTTGAATTCATAGTGTTCATCCGACCATGACTGACGCATAACCGCCGCGAGTGAAAAATAGTGCTCTGTATTTCTGAAAACTTTGATTTATTGCGAATAGAAGAGAGATAAGAAAATTATTTTTTGGAAATCATTTGCAATTGAGCTTGAATAAAGGTATTAGAAATGTAGCAGATATAATTTGAAAGGTCGATTTAATCTATGAATGGAATGTTAATTGGTACATATGAGGCGAGTCACCTAAAAACCAACATAATGGGTTTGCGACCAGCATGAATCAAGATCAGGATCCATCCTGTTCGCTTACCAACTCTACTTCAAGTACGGAAACTGATAGCAAACAACATGGATCGCAGGCTGGTCTGGATCCATGCTGGTCGCACACGGACTATTTTGGTTTTGTCGTGACACGGCTCATATGAATTCGACAACTTCCGGTTTACTATATGACCTACTTGACAAGCATATCGACCTGTATAGCCCATAAGGTAAGTTTTAAAGCAAATATGTTATTAATTTGATGAATAATAATAGTAAGTTTATTTATTGATGTCAGTTCGTTCCGAGGACTAAAACTTTCGTTAAATTAATAATTTCGAAGTAATTTGGGGTGGGAGATCTCAAGTCTTTCGTCCCCAAGACATTTCGACCCTACTGTAGCCTAGTCTCAATTTTTAGACTGCATAACCGACAGATGTTACAAATTGATTTTACACAGATGTCTGCCTTTACAGGGAAAACTGGCATATACGCCTACAATTTGTTGGTCTTGTCACGGCCGTAACGTCGCTACCAAATGGGGCACATTCTCAAATATTTCAGAATAATTTTATTTTATCTTCATGTTTATACATTCATTAAGTTATAAACTTATTCAATGAATAAAGGTATTCTATGAAAGATTACAAAAAAATGATTTAACCCTCAATATGACCCATTTAACTCTTTTTTAAAGGCTGTTTAACCACCTGTATGAAATTTTCCAGCTGTAAAATAGACGGATTTTTTTTTATTTTACGCCCGTATAAAAGAAAATACGCCTTATGCTTTTTCTAATAGTATAGAATAAATTACGCCTGGAATACGGTTTTACGCACGTAAACCAGCCGTAAATGGCACGGATTCCGGGCGTACAAATGACACGTAATATTTAAATGAGCAGGAATTCAAAAATAAAAATTACGCCTGTAAAAATTCCTTTACAGCCTTGAAACTTGAAACTTGAAAACTTGATTTAACGCCTATTTCTACATATAGAATACATATTCAATGGCGTTGTACAGCTATATACCTTATATGTGCTACTCCCAGTGCTACCATACACAATACTCCCAGCAGTGCGACGGTCACAGTGATTGGGTCAATCCCCACCAACATGTAACAATCTACACCCCTAAGCACCCCTGCACATGATAACACATGGGCTAGACTTTATTATATATAATACATTGAAAATAATAAAAACACTAGAAATATACAAACATGCACAAAACAATTAGGAACAGACAATGCCTTCAGCGTCACTTAAAAAAGTGCAAAAAAGTTCTTGAAGTAAAATGATTTCAGTTGTCTTTTGAAAATTTCAACAGATTCGCATTTTCTCATATTAATAGGTAGTTCATTCCACAATTTTGGTCCTATCGTGCTAAAAGCTCTGTCAGAAAAAGTCCTCTTCTTATTAAAAGGAACAACATAACAACCAACTGAGGATTCAGATGATCTTAAGGTTCGTTTTGACACTTGATGAGACAAAAGCTCTATTAAATATGATGGTGCGTTTCCTACCGAACAGTTATACATGTATGTCAGTATCTTGAAACTGATTCGTGCTTTAATCGGAAGCCAGTGCAGATCGAATAATGCCTGTTTAGAACTATCATACTTGGAACGACCTAACACCAGTTTGGCACACATATTTTGAATACGTTGAAGTTTGGCTAATTCATTTTGAGATATGCCGTATAGAATGATGTTGCAATAATCTAA